GCCCTGTACCATCATGAACCTCTCACTGACATAGCTCTTTGCCACCATTTATCTCTCATTGTTATAGCTGTGTACCACCAATAGTCTCCCTTTATTGATATAGCTGTGTACCATCAATAGTCTCCGTTTATTGATATCACTTTGTACCACCAGTGATCTCCCTTTATTTATTTGCTCTGTACCACTAAATATATCCATTTATTGACATAGCTCTGTACCACAAATAATCTCTCTTTATAAATATAATTCTGTACCACTAGTTGTCTCCCTTTATTGACCATGCTCTGTACCACCAGTTATCTCCCTTTATCCATGAACCAGTTATCTCCCTTTATTAATATAATTTTGTATTTGTTGATTTATTATTCACTTTTGTATTTTTATCCTTCACCTTCCTACAGCAGGCATAATCATCATTGCAAAAATTTATCAGAATGATTGTATTTCAAAGGAAATTGATTAAACTGAATATAAAAAAAATTAAACAAAACAAGGAACTCATATTTATCACACCTACATGGTAAATGATTTGATTCTCAAACATAAATTTGAGAAAATGATAAGGAAAAAAAATATCACATGAGAGTTTGTAATTTTTATGGCCTGCTGACATACATACATATACTACATTACAATGTATAATAACAACTGTGCAGATAACACAGGTACAACTACAAGTCTACTGGCAACACTTTCGGAGCTGATGTGGGAGGCTTTAAGGAAAGGAGTGGTCTAACACTGAAGGGACACTGTCTAGAAACTGGTGATGGCAGTATTCAAGGTCTGGGTAGACAGATTACTGTGGGGTACTATGTAGGAAATAGTGTAGGATAATTCAAAGCCTGGCCAGACCAACACTGGAGGGCCACTTTCTAAATACTTGTGTGAAAGGATTTGAAGTCAGGCCAGACCAACACTGAAGGGCCACTTTCTGGGAGCTTGTGTAAAAAATTTCAAAGTCAGGGCAGACCAAAACTCAGATGGGCCACTGTCTTGGAACTGGTGTGAAAAGATTTGAGGTCAAGGGTCACCTAAGGTTGACATTAAGGTACATGTACAAGTAAGGAAATAAAAGGGTCAAGTTCATGGAATGTTGGATGGGGAGGGGAAAACTAGTTGACAGTACAATTTAACAACCAACAAAGAGACACTCTGACACAGGTGTGTCCATTTTGAAGAATAAGTCACACTAACATGGATTTATCTAACAAACGTGATGACAAAAATTAATTTTATGATACACATCAAAATAACATATCAAGGATAATATTTCTGATAGCAAATCTGATATTTACAACTTATTAATGCAGAAGAAAATCCAATACAGTGTAAATGAGACAGACTTGGACAGAAAAAGTTACACATATAAAATCTGTCCACCATAACCAGAAAGATTCTCAAAACTAATTTCTAAAACTTCTGAATTTATCCTAATTCTGATCCGTACCTTCCAGAATCATAAAAGTACATGACATAACTTAGGACAAAGTCATTTGAGACACTGGTTCTTTTTATAAGTCACATATGGTAGCTGGTTCTGATCGGACAAAATGGGCATTAAAATCAATTAAATTACAGCAGCCATATTACCTATGTTTATCCTGTGAATGTATTCATCTGATCAAGGTATACTTGTACTGCTTGTAAATTAATATTGTCAACTTAAATAAAACAATGTCAAACTAAAATAAAACACAAGCTTGCAGCAGTATCAAGAAAAAAACTCACATACAACATCAGTGGCAAATACTAGACCGTAATTCCCAGCCGGCATTTCTCAATAAAGACGGAAAAGTTGAAGCAAAATAGGAGAAGTAAATGACCATTCCAAAATATATGGATTTCAAACTCAACTGTTATGATGATCTGACTCACCTGGTTAGTAGCTTCCAACTAAATTTATAAAACAGAAAGGCCATCTCGGCTGCAGAAGGAGTGAGAAATGTCACAGTTCAGTGAGTCGTGTCAAACAGTGTCATGGTTCAGAAAAGGTTACACAACCTTCAAACTGAACTAAAGGTGTTATACTTCAAAGAGTCAGGTCACACAATGTCACATCACAGTCACAAAATTATCAAGACTTCATGGAATCAAGTCACATAATGTCATGCTTCAATGAGTCGGGTGTCACAATATCACTACATGTTAGCGTATCACTTTTTTGTTTAAACAAGGCCTGTCACATATTTTAAAAAATACAATTGCTGGAATCATTTGATTGGCATAAACTAAAACTTCATTTTGTTTAAAACACATTCTGCTTTTTTTTTTGTTGCTTTCAGAACATTCTACTTGCTCAAGAACATTTTCGATATGACCATGTATAAGTAATTGGAAGGACTTAACATTGTAAAAAAAATTGAAATTTCCTCTTCAATAAAAAAGTAAGTAATCATTTTCATTTCCTGGAAAAAATTGTTTCTCACTTACATTGTCTGAAGGGCAGCAGGGATTTCTAGGTTTTTTGGCAAATGCCGATATGATTTTGAGGTTAAACAATAAAATTTAAATGTTTAATATCTGATTTATAAACATTAAAAATCACGATAAAAAACCTATGAAGGCATGCATTATAGAATTATCCCAACCCAAGCATGTTATAACACTATCTATACATAACAATGAAATATCCTTTAAGATGAATTCTCAGTACCCTGAAGTGAACTGTACAATAGTCACCAGATGTTATAAGTTTGACATCTCTAGGTGTGGTTTAGTCTCCTGACACATATACATGCGATGTTTATCCCTCTCAATAATTTAATGCTAGGATTGTCTTGTGCCAAAATCAATAATACTCAAACTATGTCACGGTATTCACCCTGGTCGTGGTCTGCTGATTACCTGTCACACATCAATGAGTTGGGAGATCAATGTTACACATCAAAGAATTGGTTCATCAATGTCACACTTCTCAGCGAGTTGGTTAACCAATGTCATACTTATGTCACACTTCAGTGAGCTGGTTGACCAATGTCATACTTATGTCACACTTCAGTGAGCTGGTTGACCAATGTCATACTTATGTCACACTTCAGTGAGCTGGTTGACCAATGTCATACTTATGTCACACTTCAGTGAGCTGGTTGACCAATGTCATACTTATGTCACGCTTCAGTGAGTTGGTTGACCAATGTCATACTTATGTCACGCTTCAGTGAGTTGGTTGAATGCAGTACACACTTGAGAAATGTCATGTCGCAAAGTGAGTCAGAAAATGTTACACTTCAGTGAATGAGATCTGTGCTTTCAAATTGGTGCAATATATCCCGAAAAAAAATATCAATGGGGTAAATTATGAACTTTCCTCTGATAATGGTTATGTTTTAAAACCTGTGCAAACAATTTAGCAATTGTCTGTAGGTGACCACAAAACTAGAAATCATCTGTCCTTAGATAACTTGTTGATATCATGTGATGTAACATAGGCTTTCTAGCCTAAAAATAGATATCATCTGTCCTTAGATAACGTGTTGATATCTTGTGATGTAACATAGGCTTTCTAGCCTAGAACTAGAAATCATCTGTCCTTAGATAACGTGTTGATATCTTGTGATGTAACATAGGCTTTCTAGCCTAGAACTAGAAATCATCTGTCCTTAGATAACGTGTTGATATCTTGTGATGTAACAGGCTTTTTAGCCCCAAGCGTCTCTAAAGAAACGCTTTCATATTTGACTAATTAAGTTTTTATAAATCATTAAAACAATTATCTATTATTCCTACTTTACCTTATAACAAATTAAACAACTAATAAGAAAACCGATGAGGTTTAAATACTTTGACTTCATTGTATGACAAGTAGAATTTGGGTTGTGGTCATTCCCTTGATATTTTATATATACAACAACTGAAGGCTACATCAATACAGAAAAAACCTATACTTACCTATGATATTAAACTGTCCTTATTTTTGAGTTTCAAATCTTGTTTACATTAAATGTGAAAAAGATAGACCAATCAGACTTAAGTATGAGTAATGTCCTCTCTGTCATGTGACCAAGCATGGACCTTTCAGACTTAAGGATGAGTAATGTCCTCTCTGTCATGTGACCAAGCATGGACCTATCAGACTTAAGGATGAGTAATGTCCTCTCTGTCATGTGACCAAGCATGGACCTATCAGACTTAAGGATGAGTAATGTCCTCTCTGTCATGTGACCAAGCATGGACCTATCAGACTTAAGGATGAGCAAAGTTCTCACTGTCATGTGACCAAGCATGGACCTATCAGACTTAAGGATGAGCAAAGTTCTCACTGTCATGTGACTAGGAATGGACCTATCAGACTAAAGAAGTAGGTTGTCATTGATGTCATGTCAGATATCTTCCACTGATCTCATGTAGAGATACCTTTCCCTGTTTTACTGTAAAAATATCTTTCTTTGTTTTAGTGTAGAAATATCTTTCCCTGTTTTACTGTAAAAATATCTTTCTGTTTTAGCACAGAGATATCTTACATTATTTCAAAGTAAATATATCTTTTTCTACTTCAGTGTGGAGATATTGTTCTGTTTCCTGTGTAGGGATATCTTTCTCTGATAAAGTATATTTGTCTCCTGCACAGTCTGATTAGAATGTCTTCCATTTAAGAGTTCAAAGTCCTACATAGAAAATATCATGAATTTCATTTTTTTCCCTAAATACTTCCTAGAGTGATAGTAAACAGTTCCCATTAGTTACAATACAAGACAGTTTGACAGTGAAGGGTTACTAGATTGCTAACCTGGTGACCAACCAAACTCTTCCTATTGTAATCTTGAATATTGAAAAAAAATCACTAAGATTTGCCCATCAGAGAAAACTGTGAGAGCCAAAAACTATAGTTAGATTGAAAAGTTTTGAAATAATTGAAAATGAAAATAAAGGGAAAAAATTTTTTTTTTAAAAAATTGAGAAACAATAAAAAATACTCCTTACTAAATGTCTGATGGAATATAAGTTAAAAGCACAATCATTGCTCCCATGTGACAGGTAACATGACTGGTCATGTGACATACCTGCTGCTTCCTGGTCCTGACATCATTACCCGTAGACTCGCTCGCATTGGAGGTGCTTGTGCACTTGTTTTTTGGAATGGACTTGTTGTTGATTTTTGTACCTCGTAATATCAATTCACTCGTATCTTGTTCATCTGTAAAATACAAAATCATGTCACTCGTACGAAAAGTGAAGACCACAATCCCATTATATGTAACTCCATATAATGAGATACAATTTACAACAAATTCAGTTAAAATCCGTTTAAAATAGATTTCTATAACTTCCCCTATTTGGCTTATTTCTTCTGCTGAGAATAAGGTCTTTGTTTCTGTAAAACATGCACACAATGTTCCTCTGGACTACATTAGGGGGAATTAAGGAACATTAGGGTGCAAAATTAAAATTAAAATTCTAAAAGATAAACCTTTCTGACCCCTTCTCCCCAGTTCCCAGGGGTAGAATCAATTTTCTGAATTTAAGAAATGATTGTCCACTCCGTATGATGTTTCAGTCCAAATTTGGTTGAAATCAACTGAGGTGTTAAGGAGAAGTAGAATTTTAGAGGAAAAGTTTACGGACTGCATGCATTAACTGATGAGACACAAGGTCATCTAGGAACTTCTGGTCAGAAAAAAAAGTCAAAACCAGTATCCCAGAGACTTGATACTTTTGTTCCTTATACAAGTATTTACCCATGACAACACACTGACAATTACTTGACTAATACAACAAAATTTTCTTCCAGGTTTGATGTGAGAGTTGTCTCCCTTTAGTGCTAGCTTACCTTTGTCCATGGGATGGATTTTGGCTTTGCTGACTGAGGAGGGTTTATCTACAACCTCCTCCATAACTCTCTCCACCCCTCCATCACTCCCTGAGCTGAGCAGTGGCTCTGAACATGACGGGTCGATCCTGTAACGTGAATACTTCATCATCATATCAACTGACGGGTCAATCCCGTGATGTGAATACTTCCTCATGGTGTCTACACAGTCTACAGTATCCACTGAGATATTGTATACACACAGTCTACAGTATCCACCGAGATATTGTATACACACAGTCTACAGTATCCACAGGGATATTGTATACACACAGTCTACAGTATCCACAGGGATATTGTATACACACAGACTACAGTATCCACAGGGATATTGTATACACAAAGACTACAGTATCCACAGGGATATTGTATACACACAGTCTACAGTATCCACAGGGATATTGTATACACACAGTCTACAGTGTCCACAGGGATATTGTATCCACACAGTCTACAGTATCCACAGGGATATTGTATCCACACAGTCTACAGTATCCACAGGGATATCGTATACAGTCTACAGTATCCACAGGGATATTGTATCCACACAGTCTACAGTATCCACAGGGATATCGTATACACACAGTCTACAGTATCCACAGGGATATTGTATCCACAGTCTACAGTATCCACAGGGATATTGTATACACTTGGGCTACAGCATGCAAATGGATATCGTATCAGCAATAAACAGTACACTAGGGGACTGCTCACAACCATTCACCATTTCAATACATCCAACAGAGTATCACTTCTAAAGTGAGACTTTATACTATACCAGCCAAAACTATTTCTCAACAATAAAATTCTAGAGAGATTTCTACCCAATGGTAAAAGTTTAAACACATACTGATTCTCTAATCTTCTCACCAGACCAGTAGTTCAAAGTCTAGTTCACTTGACATCAAGTTAATACAAAAATCTCATCAAATACATCGTTAAAACTATCAAATTTCTTAAGTCGAACAGCATATGTAAACGTTCATCACCAGCACCTGTAGACAGAATATAGATACAAATAAGTAATATCCATTTCTCTGGTAAAACAGATGTGGCTTGTTAAGCTGACCAGACGTTACACAATGAAAATGTTAATCCCATTCTAATCCTCTATTTAGATTGAAGTAACAACCTTGAGGTCTCTGAGTGTCCAAGCTGTGGGTGTTTTAATCTAATTACACTAAGGTCATAGACACAATTAATCCGCTTTGAGAGTTGTCCAGATATTTACTCCCTTGTAAGTTAACTGCAGCTAATTATAAACCTATATATTTCAACATCCCATTTAAAACAAGTGAAGAGAGAGAGTGAAATTATCCTCAAATATCAACGCTAAAAAATCCCTATAGCTCTTCAGATTTTTTTTCTTTGTTTTTTACACCAGTGATTTCTAAAGACAATTATACTGTATCTATGTAGTTAATGCTAACCTTGTTAGTGCACATATCACATCCTAACCTCATTAGTACACCTGTTATATCTTTACTTTGTTAGTACACCTGTTATATCCTAACCTCATTAGTACACCTGTTATATCCTAACCTTGTTAGTACACTTGTTATATCCTTACCTTGTTAGTAAACCTGTTATAACCTAACCTCGTTAGTACACCTGTTATATCTTAACCTCGTTAGTACACCTGTTATATCCTTACCTTGTTAGTACACCTGTTATATCCTAACCTTGTTACTACACCTGTTATATCCTTACCTTGTTAGTACACCTGTTATATCCTAATCTCATTAGTACACCTGTTATATCCTAACCTGCTTAGTACACCTGTTATGTCCTTACCTTGTTAGTACACCTGTTATATCCTAACCTCGTTAGTACACCTGTTATAATCCTTACCTTGTTAGTACACCTGTTATATCCTAACCTCGTTAGTACACCTGTTATATCCTACCTGAGCTCACTTTCTGTGATAGATGAGTTACACATTCCTCCTGAGTCTATCTCTTTCACACACATTTCTTTTCCACTTGAATTTTTAAACTTATTCGCTTTTAACTTGGCATTTTTCTTCTTATGGAGATGAAGTTTATAGGCAAAACATGGCATAGTAGGCGTATTTACAGTGCTGGAAGGAGTTGTGGCGCTCGACGTCGATTTCACATTTGGGGTGAAATCTAAGTCTGTTGCTAATGCATCAAAGTCATCGCTGTGGAAGCTTTCTATGCGCGCGAGGGGCATCTGAAACATTTGTCGTGTGGGTGTGTTCGGCATTACAAGATTATAGAGTGACATGTTGGAACAACGCGTTGACACAGAGCTGCGCCCATCCTCTAAATAGGCCTCTACATCGGGGCTATACTCGAGTGTATTCATCAACTCACTGGAGCGCCGATAATGCAAGCCTCCTGGGCCGTTCTTTGGAGGAGGTACATGTCCCTCCCCTGTGGATAAGGTGTCCTTCCCATTCACTGCATCCTTTTGATCTTTATTACAGCACACCACACCACGATCTGTGATTTCCATTGACGAAGGTTCTGGAAGGTCCACCATTTTAGTGGCCCCCAATAATTCTGTAGTACTATCCACCTGGTCCTCTGGTATTTCCGAGTCCACCGTAAACAGTTGTGCGTCACTGTTGCTGGCCTTGTTACAATCTGACACATTTAATTCACAACATTGAGCACATCGTATCCGTGGATTCCTATCCTCACTTGATTGCATAGATGTAGATACCACACGCTCCAGCGAGCTTGCTGACAGTGTCGTCCGTGAATCACACACATTACTAACTTTTGACGTCACTATGTGCTTCTTGTCCTGTTTTGTTGACACCTTTGGTCTTACGATAGATTTAATGTCTACTAATGCAATTCGCGCCTCGACGGAGTCAATCCCATCCTCCATAAGTGATTCTAGCTTATCATTGGATGACATTTTGGCTTCAGCAGCTGATTTCTGCCCTGAATCTACAGCATCCAATGATACATCTACTTTGTTGGGATCAATGAGTGCCTCAAGAGAGCCGGCACAGCTGAGCAGTTCTGTAGTGGAGCAAGGATTTGAACTGTCTGAATTATTTCTACACTTCTCTCTTGGGTGCATAACAGGTCCATTAATATTTGTATAGGAGGAACTCTTGTTGGCAGGGACATGAAGAGAGAATGGAGACAAGTGGTAACAACCCTTCACGCTCAGGTCTTTGGGACGCTGGATGGGGAGGGGGCGAGGTGGGTCAATACGTATGGAGGGACTGAGCAGGGTCGTGGGACTGTTGGGTTGCGAACTGCTAGAACCTTGCACATCTTTGAGACTGCTTGTGCGACGATTTCCAGGTCCATAAGAACTTGACCGTTTCTTTCGCTGCGATGAGTTGCGACGACTGAAAGAGCGACGATTGAAGGCCATCTGTCCTGGTTGTCCCGGCGACAGGAGGTTAGGATTGCTCGGGTTATTAGGAATAGTGTTGATCGTATCGTTGCTGTGGCTGGGATCCTGTAACATAGTATTAATCATAACAGTTAATTACATGTAATATCACACTCAAGACTCATTATGATAGTAACAGACACAATGATGTTCTTTGACAGCTAAGACACTTTGTGATAGTAACAGACACAATGATGTTCTTTGACAGCTAAGATACTTTGTGATAGATACAGACACAATGATGTTCTTTGACAGCTAAGACACTTTGTGATAGATACAGACACAATGTTGTTCTTTGACAGCTAAGACACTTTGTGATAGATACAGACACAGTGATGTTCTGTGACAGCTAAGACACTTTGTGATAGATACAGACACAGTGATGTTCTGTGACAGCTAAGACACTTTGTGATAGACACAGACACAGTGATGTTCTGTGACAGCTAAGACACTTTGTGATAGATACAGACACAATGATGTTCTGTGACAGCTAAGACATATTGTGATAGTAACAGACACATTGACATTCTATTATGGTTATAGATACTTTGTGATAGTTAAAGACACGTTGAGAACTCTATGATAATATTTACCGATGTTTGATTAGGGGACATAAGCCTGTTGTATCGTAAAGACCGCCTTGGTTTTGATCGTTTCTTTTCTGGTCCTAACCAAGATGGGGCACTGCACAGGGCCATGAAGTCAAAGCTGGCACTGACTTTGTGTTGTTCGTTGGGTGGTCCTTCCCCGGTCTGACCAGTTTTTGGTGACAGCTCATTGGCATCAGCATGATGACCAACTACAAATAGAACAAACATAATCTACATTATGCCTATGATCTGTTTGAGTTAAGGGTATATGTTACCTTACACATTATACCTATGATCTGTTTGAGTTAAGGGTATATGTTACCTTAAACATTATACCTATGATCCGTTTGAGTTAAGGGTATATGTAACCTTAAACATTATACCTATGATCTGTGTTGAGTTAAGGGTATATGTTACCTTACAAATTATACCTGTAATTAACATTAATATGCAGGAGGAATATGGATAATACTATTGTTTACTGTGAAATTCAGTGAGCAATCTTACCATGGTTACCACGTGATGACCCACCCTCCAACTCTGCTGTCCTCTGCTGCATAGACTTTCGCTTGTGTTTCTTTGTTTTTATGTCAAGCTTCTTTTCTGGCTGTGTTGTGTAGTCAATTTCAAACAAACCTGGAACCAAAACAACATGCATTATTGAACTAGGTGTGTCAGTGTAACATGGATGCTCAAAACTGATACCGGTTCCTACTCCTTACTGGTGATATATATATATATATATATTATCCAACAACTAATCATTTTTCATTAATAAGAGTTCCAGAAAAGTCTTCAGCTATATTCTCTCCACATATAGACAATTTTTTTGCAGACATCTGATTCATTGACAAATAAAACCCATTTACCTTTCTCACTTCTTTTTGTGTCCATGATCATATTAAACATGGCTGACAGATCATCACATTTACACTCGTGTACAGTCTTTTCCACTTGGTCTTTTTTCATACTCAGCATGTCTGATAGCTCATCCATTACCTGTAATCAAAGGTGTTAACGAGGCTTAAATCACAAGAATATACACATCTTATCCAACAAATCAACCAATACTTACAGCTGTTGATGTTTGGATCTCTTTTGAATGGAGATGAGGGGGGCCAATCAACCTCAAACATCAACAATTAGGCATGGCTGAATCATTTTTGATTTCATTGTCACTGCTAACATACATGTTGAAGTTAATAATCATGTATGTGTAAATTATTTGGTTGTTCATCTTTACACCTGACTGGTTTCTTGTATTTATTTGTCTTTTTACAGATCACAAATTAAAGTGGTCAGGACAGGAAGTTTTCTCCTAAACTAGACCAAGTCCGATAAACTACAATAAACTACCCTAAAATGTGCAGTTGTCAGGTATCTGGGAATCAAATTCCTGTCACAAAATTTTATTGTAGTAAAAACTTGTGCTGCTTTGTCAGTGAGTTAGCATTTTTCATCAGCCTGGTTGTAGTATCACAGAGATATTGTGATAGTCATTGTTATATGCTATACAATATATTATATACTTTTATATATCTAGATACTTTATTGAATTATCATAAATAACTGCCATTGACTGAGTGACTACTCCCCATCCCCCCTCCCCTATCCCCACTCTGTCCCCCACTCCCAATCCCTGAAATAAATGGTACATGTCTATTATAAAGAATCATCATTTTATATTTTTCTTTCAAGTTATTGATTTTTCAGACAAGTTATTTTGCCCCTTGGCATTATTACATGTTTAACTTTGTTACGGTTTCTATGAACCTAAAATAAAAAGAAATACAATTTTTTGTCTGCCACACATTACTGGGTAAGGAAAAAGAGCAAATTAAGGCATCGCTAAAAAAATTGAGAGCTTTTGTCTCTCTCTTTTTTTTCCTTTTTTTTTGTTTTTTTTCTTAAATTGTGTTTTATGCACAAAATTTTTTTGAAATTGCTGATGCACCAAAATCAATGACTTGGAGATATAATACCTTTTTTTACAGTATGCATATTAATGAAGAAATTTTCATATCATACATAAGCACATCTCAAAACATGAAATTTTGTCTGCTGGCAAACTAACACCTAATCAAATTTGATGTGTTTCATTTCAAATAAGATTTTTTTTTTATATGACTATTTTTTTCCCCTGAAAATTCCCGATACAATTTAAAAATTTGATTCTCTTGTGTTGAAAAGGATTTCAGCTCAATATTAAAAAATCCTGTTGACTTTTCTATCCCTTTAAATAGAAATTGTGTTTGTCGATGAAATCACCTAAAAAATTTAATAAAATACCTGCATTCAATGTTACCTTACAAAATTGCTGTTTTAAAATTTTCTGTATGCTAAGCTACAAAATTCTTATCACAGATTTTGAATTTTTCCTCAAAGTTCTGAAAGTATAATAAAAAATTTTCTTTCAGTTTTTCACAAAAAAGGTCATCTGACATAAAATACAAGATTTTAAATTTTGAACTTATTTCACCTGGATTTAAGAATCAAGGGCACTCAGCCACCACCTTGAAAGTGGGTTAAGGCTATTCATTTCAACAAACTTCGTAAACCTTCATCCCAGCATGCTACAGGCAAAATATCATGTCACGATCATTTCAGGTAAGTTGAGAAGTTGAAAATGTGTTTTCAATGTATTTTCAAAATGGCGGCCATGTTGGATTTTGGACCTACCCGAAATTAACAAACTTTGGTCAGGACCATGTCACAATCATTTCAGGTAAGTTTCACCTCAATGAGAACTTAAGAAGAAGTTGAAAATGTAAATTGTTTATGCCGGACGCTGGACGCCGCCGGACAAAAGGCGATCGTACTATGAGCAAAAGTCTAGAAATGTGATAAGTTAAATACATACTGTATTATATAGTTAAAATCTATTGAAATAAAGTTGAATTCCAGAGAAATCTTATGTCCACTGATTACTGATTTATTCTGTACAATTCTGTTTACAATAATAATCTCTGCATTTGCTTTCATTCATAAAATGTCACTGAGACATTAGACATTATTTTTTTAATCCTCAATATGAAAATGATTTCCTAACGTGAAAGTATATAGACTGATTAATACTGTAACAAAAAGAAAAAAAGCAATCATTTGTTAGGAATTAAAGTTCTTTCAGAATTGAAATAATGTTTGTCAGATTTTTACCTTTTCTAATAGTAAAATACCTGGCACATATGAACTAAAATATTTTTCATCGAAAGTACAACAAATACTTTCATGGAAAATAGCATCAAAATATTCTCATTGAAAATAACAGAAAAATATTCTCATTAAAAACAGCATGAAAATATTCTCATTAAAAACAGCATGAAAATATTCACATAGTGAAGCATGAAAATATTCTCATTGAAAATAGCATGAAAATATTCTCATTAAAAACAGCATGAAAATATTCTCATTAAAAGTAACATGACAATAAATGATCATACTAGAGCATCTTTGATGATTAATGGAAAAGAAAAAATTGAAGTTTGACTTTGTCACAGAGTAAAGTTTACATAACAATCAGTATATATATGAATGCAGCATACAGTACAATGTCAGATGAGAGTGTTCCATGTAGGTACACATACAGCTCAATGTAGCAGAGGTCAAGTAGAGGTCAAGTGTATGGACATAATGATGCTGTAAATAACCTGCACATGAAAAAGGACAAAGACAGATATCTACGACAAATGTTGTCACATGCTGCAAAATGAAACAAAAGCAACAAAGTTGTTTTAACAAGTCTGCGAAGACAGACAGAATGTAAACATGGTGCCATGACCAGGATCTGGAAGAGATTATCACCTTGTAATATCTGATCTCCTAATCTCTGGGAAATCTATTCAGGTAAAATCATTCAGGGAATTTCTAACAGGAAAATGCACTGAACAAGTATTTTTTTTTTGGTTCCACAAGCAGTCGACAAGTGGCATTATTTCTTAACATCAAACACATACCACAATAAACAGAAATAATATTAGGAGGAAAATGAAATAGACCTGAAATTTTAACATCACAGATGCATTGATGTCAACGGAATACAACCATCAGATGTGGATCAAGATGCATGACCATAATTTTTGTGACAGGCATTCGACAATATGTATAGAAACCTGTTTACCTCCTGTTCTAACTCATCGTCACTCTGGGGCGTGGCCTAATGGGCAAAGTGATGGCAAATGTTTAATGTACAAACAAAAAGAATCAAGGGAGGTAACCATCACTATAACGGAATGTTTGTTAAACAAATACAGCTTTACATAAAACCAAGGGGAGGTAACTGCGTCATTACTACAAAAGAATGTTTGTTACACCAAATACAGTTTTACATAAAACCAAAGGGAGGTAACTGCATCATTACTACAAAAGAATGATATGTTACACAAAATACAGGCTTATACACAACAGAAAGAAAAGAATTCATAAAAGCAAATTTAAGCAAAATGGCCATTGAAATACAATTAACAGATTTTAATTATCTACAATATATAGTAATTAATAACTGACCATCAGTAAGGTCAGAGTTCATTGGTTACAACCATCAATAAGGTCAGGGGTCATTGGTGTGGACTACAAGGTCATTGGTGTGGACTGCAATTATTAACTATTAGTAAGATCAGGGGTTTTTCGGTTTTTGACCATCAATAAGGTCAGGGGTCATTGGCGTAGAATAAAAGTTACTAATCATCAGTAAGGTCAGGGGTCATTGGTATCAATATTTGCATCTATTTAAACTACCTTTATATACCACATCACCATAACAACAATGATTGACCAATCAGAATGAAGTGATGACATTTTTTTTAAACTTGAGTGTTTGTAGGTAGTGATATGTAAAAAGTTGTTTCAAAAAAAGATATTATGTATGATGTAACAAATAATGATTTAAATGATCGAGAATATCTTTTTAATGCCAAACAATCCTTTCACCTGATACTTAACACAATTTTTTAGAAATCAAAAAAAGTATAAAGTCAGAAAGAAAATCTACAATACCAATGTTATTAGATACAGGGAAACCAAAAAGCTGTAAGTAAACAATGTGTAGCTACTCTGACTGGAGAAGAATGTGACGGTGTAAATCTTACTGTTTTTGAGTGTGGTGGTCGGGAAGAAAGGGCGGGGCCTTGTTTAACACAACCCATTGTTAGTGACCGATTCAAACTTCCTGCTGCTATGTGAGATGTAGACTGACCTGGTGAATTCTGGGAAATTGGAACATACAGACATAATACAGAATATGTTTGTTTTTGTTTTTTTTTTCTAATCCAGAGAAAATTTTCTGAAATTCTCTCTCTATTTCTATGCAATCACACATAACAAACAGCTGATTCTGGCAGAATTACTTCACAAATAGCACACAAGGCCCTTTAGGGGTGTGGGGTGTGTGACAGGTGGATGTAGGTGTGTGTGAGGGGGGACACTTGCAAAACAAAACAAGTCTCATTTCTTTGCGAATTTTGATTTTCACCCCTTCCTCCCCCTCATGCCCTGTCTATAGATGATAGTGACAATCACCCCTTCCTCCCCCTCACTCCCTGTCTACAGATGATGGTGACAATCACCCCTTCCTCCCCCTCATTCCCTGTCTACAGATGATGGTGACAATCACCCCTTCCTCCCCCTCATTCCCTGTCTACAGATGATGGTGACAATCACCCCTTCCTCCCCCTCATTCCCTGTCTACAGATGATGGTGACAATCACCCCTTCCTCCCCCTCATTCCCTGTCTACAGATGATGGTGACAGTCACCCCTTCCTCCCCCTCATTCCCTGTCTATAGATGATGGTGACAATCACCCCTTCCTCCCCCTCATTCCCTGTCTACAGATGATGGTGACAGTCACCCCTTCCTCCCCCTCATTCCCTGTCTATAGATGATGGTGACAATCACCCCTTCCATTCCCTGTCTATAGATGATGATGACCCCTCATTCCCTGTCTACAGATGATGGTGACAGTCGCCCCTTCCTCCCCCTCATTCCCTGTCTACAGATGATGGTGACAATCACCCCTTCCTCCCCCTCATTCCCTGTCTATAGATGATGGTGACAATCACCCCTTCCTCCCCCTCATTCCCTGTCTACAGATGATGGTGACAGTCACCCCTTCCTCCCCCTCATTCCCTGTCTATAGATGATGGTGACAATCACCCCTTCCTCCCCCTCATTCCCTGTCTATAGATGATGGTGACAATCACCCCTTCCTCTCCCTCATTCCCTGTCTACAGATGATAGTGACAATCATGCCTTCCTCCCCCTCATTCCCTGTCTACAGATGATAGTGACAATCATGCCTTCCTCTCCCTCTTTCCCTGTCTACAGATGATAGTGACAATCATGCCTTCCTCTCCCTCTTTCCCTGTCTACAGATGATAGTGACAATCATGCCTTCCTCTCCCTCTTTCCCTCTTTCAGTAAACAATTTTGTCTAATGAAGTGACTGAAGAAGTGTACTCGAAAATTCATGGTGTTAAGATGAAACCGTGTGATGATATAAATGATACTGACTCAATTCTCTACACTAGAAAAGCTAGAGTTGTCCCCCTTCCATTATAAATCACAGGCATAATTCTTGTCAAATATAACTGATGTAGAATTTGTGTTCTGGTCTCTGACAGCAAAACCATGCATCATTGCCCATCCAAATTGATAATAAAACCAAATTTTCATTAAAGAAAAGAAAAAAAAATGGCATCCAGTCTTTTCTAACATGTCAATTTCCGAAACTAACAAAAGTAGGTTGAAGGATTAAACCACACAAGGGGAATGTTTTTTTCTAAAACTTAAAACATTTCTTTCGGGTTATTTAATTTCTTGACATCAGATCAATTTATTATTTCTAACACATAAAAATATTACAAGAAACATTTAAGGACGGTAAATTTCTGTTAAAGAAGTGTACTAGCAACATGTAGGTGAACAAATATTTTCAAGACAGTAGCATTTCCGTCTCACTAGAACAAAATTATGAGAAACAAACCAAATGTGGCCTGGACTTTGAATCACATCACTGTAAATCACTTCAGATGTCGTAAATACTTTATTTTACAGACTTACCTTCTGTGACATATTTGTGTATATATGAATTCATGACAGGCTGATCTAGAAATGATTTAAGGTTCACGAACGATGAGCTCTAAGAGACATCGAGTATTCAACACTTGGATATTGGGAACGGAATCAATAATATCTGAGTACAATTTCTTAATGAGCTATCATGTTCTGGGTTTTTTTTTTAAATCATACACTTTAATCCATAGATAGAGAACATATAAATATATAAACACTCAAAACTCATGCTGATGTTTTAGGGACAATGTCCCACCTCACCTTGGCTTTCATGTCCTAGTTTAGAGATAATATCACACCTCACCTTGGCTTCCATGTCATGGATTAGGGACAATGTCCCACCTCATCTTGGCTTTCATGTCCTAGTTTAGGGGACAATATCCCACCTCACCTTGGCTTTCATGCCCTAGTTAAGGGGACAATGTCCCATCTTACCTTGACTTCTATGCCCTAGTTAAGGGGACAATGTCCCACCTTACCTTGGCTTTCATGCCCTAGTTAAGGGGACAATGTCCCATCTTACCTTGACTTCTATGCCCTAGTTAAGGTGACAATGTCCCATCTTACCTTGGCTTTCAAGCCCTAGTTAAGGGGACAATGTCCCATCTTACCTTGACTTCTATGCCCTTGTTAAGGCGACAATGTCCCACCTTACCTTGGCTTCTATGCCCTAGTTAAAGGGACAATGTCCCATCTTACCTTGACTTCTATGCCCTTGTTAAGGCGACAATGTCCCACCTTACCTTGGCTTTCATGCCCTAGTTAAGGGGACAATGTCCCATCTTACCTTGACTTCTATGCCCTAGTTAAGGGGACAATGTCCCATCTTACCTTGACTTCTATGCCCTAGTTAAGGGGACAATGTCCCACCTTACCTTGACTTCTATGCCCTAGTTAAGGCGACAATGTCCCACCTTACCTTGACTTCTATGCCCTAGTTAAGGGGACAATGTCCCACCTTACCTTGACTTCTATGCCCTAGTTAAGGCGACAATGTCCCACCTTACCTTGGCTTTCATGCCCTAGTTAAGGGGACAATGTCCCATCTTACCTTGACTTCTATGCCCTAGTTAAAGGGACAATGTCCCACCTTACCTTGACTTCTATGCCCTAGTTAAGGGGACAATGTCCTAGTTAAGGGGACAATGTCCCACCTTACCTTGACTTCTATGCCCTAGTTAAGGTGACAATGTCCCATCTTACCTTGACTTCTATGCCCTAGTTAAAGGGACAATGTCCCACCTTACCTTGACTTCTATGCCCTAGTTAAGGCGACAATGTCCCACCTTACCTTGGCTTTCATGCCCTAGTTAAGGGGACAATGTCCCACCTTACCTTGACTTCTATGCCCTAGTTAAAGGGACAATGTCCCACCTTACCTTGACTTCTATGCCCTAGTTAAGGCGACAATGTCCCACCTTACCTTGGCTTTCATGCCCTAGTTAAGGGGACAATGTCCCACCTTACCTTGACTTCTATGCCCTAGTTAAGGGGACAATGTCCCACCTTACCTTGACTTCTATGCCCTAGTTAAAGGGACAATGTCCCATCTTACCTTGGCTTTCATGCCTTTGTCCCGAGGAAATGCATGGAAAGCATAGAAAGGCATCTTCTCATTGAATGTGACCCAAGGATGCTTTTCTATCTCCACTACAGACAGACGGAGGTCTGGGTTTGGCTCCAAGATCTTCCTTAAGATGTCTTTGCAATCTTCAATGTAAGAAAGGTGATTTCAGGAAAAAATCATGTTTAATCCCTATGCATCCCATCTTTAAGGTAAATTTCAGTGGCCAACCTCTTTCCTATCCCATCTCAAAGCCCTACCTCAGTTCCTATCCCATATCAAACCCCTATCTCAGTGCCCAACTTTTCCATCATTTTCCCTGTCTTTGTTCCTTACCCTTCTTCTTTGCCCTTGTTTTCTTACTTAAACCCTCTGTCCCTGTTCCTGTTATCCTATTTATCCTTCCTAAGCCCTTTACGGGTTTGATTCAGAGTACCATCCTTCTGTCTCTGTCTCAGTGCCCTACCCCTCCGTCCTCCTTACTGCAATATAACTCTGCCCCTGACTCAGTGCCCAATTCCTCCACTCTTGGCTTACTGCCCACTCTGCCCCTGTCCCCTGAAGTAACCTACCACTGGTGATGTGAGCCATCTCTCTGTTGTGTTGCTCTGTGAGGCCTTTCTCTATCTGTTGTAGCAGTTTTTCCCTGCGGTATTGGTCTGTGTAAGGTGTGGTGAAGGGAAGTTTACCTACCACTACTGCATACAGTACTATTCCTCTGTAATATCAAAGGTCACAGGGGTCAAACATAAAACAATTCAAACATATACCAAAGCAGTTTCCATTAAATAAATAACTTTGTTTTTCACAAAAGAAAATTCTAAATATTTTTCCTCATTTTAAAGTTTTACAAACAAGCTTACTTTACCATTTCTTTTGGATAAGGGATTTCCTTTGTTTCAAGACTTTAAAACTGGACAAGATGTTTCTACAGTTGTTAACCTTTCCAGTGAGATAAGGGGTTTCCAAAAAAAATTTTTTTCAAAAAATTTTTTTTTTTTCAAATGGAAGAGGGGTTTTTAAAAAAATATTTGTCATGTGCCACTTGCTGTGTTGGTCTACTTACATACTCCATATGTCTATTTCTGGTCCATACTTTCCGCCTGTAGTAAAGAGTTCTGGTGCTGCATACTCAAGTGAACCACAGTGCGTCTTCATTAACTCATTAGGGTTGAAAGTATTACTAAGGCCAAAATCTGAAGGTATACAATCATAATTTATGTCAACATCGTTTTTAATATTAGTAATAATAATAATAATAATATCTCGCATTCTCTCCCAAATGTTTCCAAACTGTAACTGGAGTTGTCTCCCTTACACTGTGAACAACCTGTGTGGGCAGAGATAAAAGGTTGTAGAGATAATGGCTGATTCCTTATCAGATTCTAATTATCCTGCTGTCTAGAAATGTCACGCATGGTGCATTAGTACTGTTCAATGGACATGATATATGAGGAGTTAATTACTTGGAGTCTCTGAAGTGACCGCTGGTCTGAGGGGTCAGTCTGTATTCTGCATCAGTAGCAGCCACTGCAGCCCTAATTAAACTCTAGTTGTTGGTTAGTTAGAATACCTCCATTTATCACTGACCATCAAACTCCTTGTCCTGAGAGGTCAGGTATGGGTCAGTTCAGACCCTAAACTCTTTGGCTGACCACAGTGTATTTTCCTCCTGCTAACCACCTGTTTATAAAGCTATTTCTTTGGTACTTAACTTCTCCATCGAACACTCATATTCTGATATACAAAATTTTAACTAAGATTATACTCAGCTCTCAGGAAAAATTATAATTACTGCAAAATGAAAACATGGATTCAATAACACAAGATATCAACTAATTCATCTTGATTTGTTTAAGACGATATCTTCAGTTTGATAAGATATATAATTATTACCAATTAAATCGCAGCAGGAAATTTTGATAATCTGTTCAAAGACTGTTTAGAGATAACCATTGGTTAGTGAAAATGTTTAAATACGAGCCAAATAAAATTAAAAACATTCCATATCATTAGATTGTTATGATTTTGTTTAGAAAGGCTAGACACCTAATTTTGACTCTAATGCTTTTGTTTTTTCAATAACAACAATTTGGTTTTTCACTAACCACTGATTAACTTAGATCAACCACTGAACTAACGGGGCCTTATAACAACTTTTGCTTCATAACAACTTTTGGCGCATGACCTTGACTTTTTAAAAAGATGTTACAACAATTTTTGGTCATGTTGGTTATTTAATTTCATGAATTTGTAACTTTGGTTTTTTAACCAATAAGATTGTAATTTCAAACAAAGTAAATATAACGAGAATGATGAAACCAAATCTCTTTTTCCAGAATACAGACATTTTGGGAAAGTTTAAAACTAAACTCAGTTGAAAGAGTATGACGTTAGAAACAAGACACCACAGGCAAGAGGCAGACACAATGAGACAGACCAAGATGTCTGAGAAAAGATACCACAGGCAAGAGGCAGACACAATGAGACAGACCAAGATGTCTGAGAAAAGATACCACAGGCAAGAGACAGACCAAAGATGTATTAGACAAGACACAATGAGACAGACCAAGATGTATTAGACAAGACACTTCAGGCAAGAGGCAGACACAATGAGACAGACCAAGATGTCTGAGAAAAGATACCACAGGCAAGAGACATATCAAAGATGTATGAGACAAGACAACACAGGCAAGAGGAGACTGAAACAACGAGACAGACCGAGAGACAAATAAAGGGAAAATTTGTAACACAGTTAGTAATATTTCTTTTGTATAATCAAACAATTGTAGAAAGCTTAACTGATTCTCATCAACCCTCCCTCCCTCCACACACAATTATACTCCTTGACCTGGTTCCATCCCCTAGATTTCCTCTCACAGATCAATATTTGTCCCCCAAGTCTCATTCTAGTGCTGAGATAAGGTTGATCCGAGTCAGATGAATGCTTTATTACCATATCTATAATCACTGGACATTACTACAATATCAAGCACCACTGGCACTCTGTTATAAAGCAGCTGTTATTGAGGACATAAATGTCTATTATCCAGACTCAATATAACACACAGACACAAACATATGTCAGGGAAAGCTACTAGCCTTGCTGGTCATACCAAAATACAACAGAAAGAAAGCAAGTACCCTTACTGGTCATACTGGGATATCAACCTTTACAATATTTTTTTTTTTTAACGTTAAGCAACAGTGACCTTGACTTTTGGTCAATGACCTTCACATGCAGACTTGTTGAAGGAGTGACGAGAATACTTACCAACAATTTTAATGTTTTTCTTCTTTTCATCCAGCATTATGTTTTCCATTTTCAAATCTCTGAAAAGACAAAAAAAAAAATCATTCCTGAGAATTAATTGTGAAAGATGAATGAAGTAGATAAGTAATTCACCAGCTGGAAAAGTTCACATCATCTCAATCTAAAATTGGCCAAAACTCTAACACGTGTGCTCAAGATGGTGCATACTTTTTCTCCAACACACAACAATCTTTCGTTCTCACCCCACTCCCAAATGTTCCACAATAAAAATTATACACACAACAATGTACTACTGCCCCTAAAACCATTCATATTTAGAATCATACTGTCTTGTTATCTGACCCCTGAGTTCTATACCACCTGTATATCCTGACTACCTGTCTTATCCTGTCTGTCATTGACTATATCTGTCTTGTTATCTGACCCCTGAGTTCTATACCACCTGTATATCCTGACTACCTGTCTTATCCTGTCTGTCATTGACTATATCTGTCCTGTTATCTGACCCCTGAGTTCTATACCACCTGTATATCCTGACTACCTGTCTTATACTGTCTGTCATTGACTATATCTGTCCTGTTATCTGACCCCTGAGTTCTATACCACCTGTATATCCTGACTACCTGTCTTATCCTGTCTGTCATTGACTATATCTGTCCTGTTATCTGACCCCTGAGTTCTATACCACCTGTATATCCTGACTATCCTGTCTGTCATTGACTATATCTGTCTTATGACTACCTGTCTTATCCCTGTCTGTCATTGACCTGTCTTATACTGTCTGTATATCTGTCCTGTTATCTGACCCCTGAGTTCTATACCACCTGTATATCCTGACTACCTGTCTTATCCTGTCTGTCATTGACTATATCTGTCCTGTTATCTGACCCCTGAGTTCTGTAATGCCTTTGTCATTGAGAAACTAAGAAACACATGTGTTTTTTTTATGTCCAATCAGGAAAGTAAATGTGTTACTACCAGACCATTTGATCAGTTAGTAATATCAGGTGGCTAGAGAGGATAAAAACACTGGGAGCTCAAAACACAAATATTGGGAGCTCAAAACACAAATATTGGGAGCTCAAAACACCAATATTAGGAGCTCAAAACACAAATATTGGGAGCTCCAAACACTAATATTGGGACCTCAAAACACCAATATTGGGAGCTCAAAACACAAATATTGGGAGCTCCAAACACAATTATTGGGAGCTCAAAACACATATTGGGAGCTCTAAACACAATTATTGGGAGCTCAATACATAAATATCGGCAACTTTGTACAAAAACATTCAGAGCTCAAAAGATAAACACTAGGTACTTCAAACACAGACACTGGGAGCTTGAAACACAAATACTGGGAGCTTGAAACACAAATATTGGGAGCTCAAAACACAAATACTGGGAGCTTCAAACACAAGTATTGGGAGCTCCAAATATAAACACTGAGAGCTTCAAAACCAAGACTGGAAGCATCAAACACATACATTTGGAACTTCATACACAAACAGGAAAAGGCCTAAGAACAATGAATGCCTTTGATGTGACTGTACATGTTTATCATCAATACTTTTAATTAGGTTATGCTGTCTGCAGGGTTAAGTCATGACAATGTCAACTTTGTTTTTTTTCTTGTTCTGAATTACCGAGTGGACTTTTTATAAACAAGTCCATTGATTTCTATAACTGTTTTTTCAGACATCAAACTCAAACACAAACTCACTAGATTTTATTTCATTTTTGTGAACATTATAAAGCATATCACTTAAAATGAGACTGACAGACTGGAGGTATATATACACTGTGAAGGATTAATCTTAGGATTACCACACATCTGTCAAAACAACATCAACCTGGTGCCACAGGCCCCCAAACCCTAGTACGTCCTCTCTAGTGTTTGATGACTAGGCTTTGATAGCCATTTACATCTAGAATATTTTACTCATTTCTGCATGCAATCAAATGCAAATGATTCAAACACACCGAGATAAAAATCAAAGTCGTGAAAGGATTATCATAGCCCCTGTTCTTATTTGAGCATTTTACCGGGTGCAGTTGCTGGGTACCTAGGGGTCTCTGTTTACACAGTATATCTGTCTCCCCAATAGTAGACAGCCCTATTCTATAGGTATGGACATAGGTATAAGATAAGTTTCACAAGTATACAAGAGATCAACAACAAGAACTAGTATTCCGCAGATAAAGTCACTTAATGGCCTTCTAATAAGGAGATAGGGAACCAAGGTAGGGACACCAGCAGAGGACAAGTCTAGGACAGAGTACTGCTGATAACATAGACACTGGCAGAGATCAAGCTCTCCCACTAAACAATACTGGAATCCTGGTGTGCTGGGAGCCTGCACCAACATGGGATCTACACCAGCAAACAAGGGAATCAATCACTGCTGATAATCAGTCAAAAGATTTCCTGCTTCTTCATGTTCAACACAAATGATACATGTTTCGTTGATAAGACGTGTGAAAATTTAGGATTTTATTTTCACAAAGAGTTGTGTCCCCTTGACCATTCATGGTGTGGTGGATGATTTTGTCCATTAAGGAACTGTTGACCTATCTGATCTCTGATTAGGCGAGTTAGTAGGAGGGGAAGCCCTGAAGCAGACCAGTGGCTTTCTATGGTTGACCAATTAATGGACCCAGTAGGTCATCGACCAGACAAATGAATAAATTACATTTCTATAAATGTTTGCTCTCCTCTTCCCCTCTTATTCACTTAGAGTCCTTGACCATTCAGTGTCAAATTCATATTTTTCTTCTTTTTTTTTTTTATTTTTCAAGTGAATCTGTGAACAAATTTATATAAAGCAAGCGGAAAGTATTTTAATCACTTGCCAGACTAGTCCATCAGATGATATCTCTACATATCTAATAACTTTCTAGGGACAAGTTTGTGTTTTTGTTGACCTTGTGTAGTAGTGAAGGTTTTTTTTTCTGGTCAGGCCTAATGTCCTTCGGTTACACTGGACCATCACAGAACGTTGATCCTTTCAACTTTAAGAAATACACATGAAAAGGAAAGTCATTGTATCAAATATTTGTGTATATACAGGCGCCCCGACTAAGACTATTAAATCTGACCACCGGTCAACCAACATACCTGTCCTAATGATGGGGTATGAGGTTACAAGCTTGTCCAATCCTCTATACATCAAAAGATCCAGCAGCAAAATTAATGACCTCATTCACTCCCTTCTCAATATGTATGAGCCTTATGAATTGAAAAGCATGCTAATATTCTGACTTATCTATTGTGGGTACCATGGAATCTGGGAATTATCCATCACACCTGGATTGTATAGTCTACCTATATATATAGGTATCCCTAACACCTGGATTGTATAGTCTACCTATATATATATAGGTATCCCTCACACCTGGATTGTATAGTCTACCTATATATACAGGTATCCCTCACACCTGGATTGTACAGTCTACCTATATATACAGGTATCCCTCACACCTGGATTGTACAGTCTACCTATATATATAGGTATCCCTCACACCTGGATTGTACAGTCTACCTATATATACAGGTATCCCTCACACCTGGATTGTAAAGTCTACCTATATATATATATGTATCCCTAACACCTGGATTGTAAAGTCTACCTATATATATAGGTATCCCTAACACCTGGATTGTAAAGTCTACCTATATATATAGGTATCCCTAACACCTGGATTGTAAAGTCTACCTATATATATAGGTATCCCTAACACCTGGACTGTAAAGTCTACCTATAGATATATAGGTATCCCTCACACCTGGACTGTAAAGTCTACCTATATATATAGGTATCCCTCACACCTGGACTGTAAAGTCTACCTATATATATAGGTATCCCTAACACCTGGATTGTAAAGTCTACCTATATATATATAGGTATCCCTAACACCTGGATTGTAAAGTCTACCTATATATATAGGTATCCCTAACACCTGGACTGTAAAGTCTACCTCTATATATATATAGGTATCCCTAACACCTGGACTGTAAAGTCTACCTCTATATATATATAGGTATCCCTAACACCTGGACTGTAAAGTCTACCTATATATATAGGTATCCCTAACACCTGGACTGTAAAGTCTACCTATATATATATAGGTATCCCTAACACCTGGATTGTAAAGTCTTCTTATACCTACAGGGCAACAATAATCACTTTTATCATTGATGGCTCCGGATTAATTTGAATGGATGATAAAATAAAAATTTGGCAGTGATTTTGGGTGTTTGACTGCTTTACTGCTCACTTTTAAGTCGATGGCCTCCTCATTGACCGTGACTTGACCGGCCAGAGACCCAAACACTGACCAGTCCACACAGGCTGGACAGCACAGAAGCCTGGCTGAGTTTTTCAGTCCATCTATATAGATTTATTTTCAGGCTAATATAGATCTAAAAATCTATCAATGATGTATAATTAGCCATGTATCACACCTTCCTCATCCTTAATGTAACAATGAAATTTGAAATATCAAATGTTATGTACTGATGGAAGTGATGGACAGCTCCTGTGTCTTAATTTAGCATCAATGTTATACACACCTAATGGCATGATATAAGGGTTTAGGGGGTGGAGATGGGGGAAATCTAAGGGATGGGGATGGGGGTGATCTAAGGCGTTAGGGGTTGGGGATGGAGGTTATCTAAGGTGTCAGGGGGTGGGGATGGGGGTGATCTCAGGATTGTGGGACATATTCAAACTACAGGTATTGTCTGTAGGGCAGTAGGGCTGCGGAACACATTCAGGTTACAGATGCTGACCCCCAGGACAGTGGAACACATTCAGGCTACAGATATTGACCCCCAGGGATGTGGAACACATTCAGGCCACAGATATTGACCCCAGGACTGAGGAACACATTCAGGCTACAGATATTGACCCCCAGGGATGTGGAACACATTCAGGCCACAGATATTGACCCCAGGACTGAGGAACACATTCAGGCTACAGATATTGACCCCCAGGGATGTGGAACACATTCAGGCTACAGATATTGACCCCTAGACTGAGGAACACATTCAGGCTAC